AGTCCACCATGACATGATGTAAACCAACCTAATTATTTTATTTTATTTTATAAATTATGTGACCAACTCTAAAAAGTGGAATCTGACACTTTTTTTTAATTTCACCCTATCTGTATTTACAATAAAGGTAATACATGTATACAGCTATATATTTTTTTAGATTCTTCCTTATTTGTATTGATTGAAATTTTTTATATAACTGAATATATTTATAGACAATCTGAATAATTTTATCATTTAAAGTTTCAGTTACACTGCTTATCAATGTTTAACTTTTCTGTGAATTAATAAAGTTTTGTCATTTTTCTTCACATATTTGGCAAAGTTGCTTTGCTTGGGCGGGAACTTGAATGCTACCTAATTGAAATCTATAAATGACCAGTAGAATTATATATGAAAATGTCAAAATTTCTATAGAAGTATGTAGAATTTAACAGACATTTGGCACTTTTTTTCTATAGAAATTCTATAGAACTCTGTAGAATTTCTATAGAATTCGGTATAATTTCTATAGAATTCTGTAGAATTTCTATAGAATTTCCATACAATTCCGTTGAATTTCTATAGAAAAGGTGCCAAATGTCTGTTAAATTCTATAGAAATTTTATACACTCTTATAGAATAATCAATAGAATTCTATAGAATATTTTCATAAGGGACAGAACTGACAAGGTTTGCCAGAATCATATTCTCTCAAGCTGATTAACCTTTCTATGATTTGGTTTTGCTTTGAACTGAAATAATTATGCTAGTTGTAGGTAGTTTGGCTCTTCCGTTTCACCCCTCCGGAATGTTCTACTTTCACAGCCTAATCGCAGGTTTTTCGAAAAACGTTGAAAAAACACAAGAATTAGTAGAAATGTTCCAGTTTGGGGCGGATTATTGATAGAGATTAATGTCTTTATTACAAAAATGCTGAAAAACCATGAGTTTTTTTCCTTACTTATTTTTTTATCGGCGAAAAACTGCGATCTCGGCAAATTTGGTTGCACAACTTCCCTTTATCATGTACACCCAGCGACACCGATGCCAGCTGACTGTGGGCGTGACTTGCATAAATTACCGCCGGTAATTAAACCTTGGTAACATCTCAGTTTATACTTGTTAGTATGCGCAACAGTAAAAATCGCCATCTTTGTTTATATGAGACCCATATTGCTAGCGCATGCGTGGCGCGACGACTACCGCCCTTTAAATTACATTGTTTGTTAGATGCATTGAAAACTTTCAACACTACTATTACATACCTTCTTTATCTGCACTGTAAACAACCATACGTTTTAAAATGTGCCGCAGGCAGCGGATATGGAATACCTCGATCCAGGCGAACGTCTAGAAAACACATTTCCCGGGAAGACACCGTCGAAGCCATCCCAACAACAGTATCACGTATCTGGTAATTGTGCCGTAACAGTACTGTGTAGAATTGTCCCATCTATTTCGACCAGTAGTTGCAGTATCTCTTATTACTTACAAATGACACCATATGATGCATTGATTAATAACGACTAAACAGGAAAAAGTTTCTCACACACCAAAAGCAGACGTAATGACAGCCGCCAGTCATTCCGCTAAGTATTGTGGGATACATAACAAAACTTCCGTCAGCGGTACTGAAAGCTTTGTCATAACATCGAAAGTGGGGCGATCGTGCCTCGGAACAAATGTTGGGGGGCGTCGTCCCTCCAAAATCAAGCAAAATTTGCCCCTCAAAATGCAGGAAATAACGTTTCAGAAGGTCTAGATTTCCAAATTTTTAAGGGGGAGTATGCCCCTGTAAGTCACGCCTTCAGCGCAAGGTTGGTGAGTAGACTCGCCCCCTCCTTGCAAATTTTCGTGCCGCCGCCTCTGTCATATCTGCCTCGAGCCTTGTGGACTCTGTATTGTGACCAATTATAAACATTTGAGCCATTAAATACACGTACATATTAGAAACATGAGATGTGATACAAACTACAGTTGCTTATGTTTTTAATATAATATTTGTATAGTATAGAAGTTTTGGGATTGGCATTTACATTTTTGTAATGAGAAAATAAATATTTGTTATGATACTATAAGTGTTGTCATGAGTGTTTTGTCTAAGGAAAACGTATTTGTCGTGTCAAGTATCAAAGATGTTTTTTTTTTCAAGAAAAAATAACTTTTTACATTCGCTAAAAATAGAGAATAAATATATCGTCACAAAATTATATATGATCTACCTAAGGTACCTACCAAATATCAAAGCCATTGGGTTTATGGTTTTTTACTGAAAATTACAAAGTAATTTAAGTATAGTATACTTTTCGGTAATTAATTTGCATATTTTTTGGCAGATCAACTTTTCATGAACAAATTCTCATCTGCACCCATTAAGGCAGCCACACAACAAAAATCAAGTCAAATGTTCACTGGCTTGTGAGAATAAACAGGCAACATCCGTTAATCCACCCATTCATCCATCCAGACGCCGGGCGAACACAGCATCGTCGGTATAGCTTAAAACAGGCAAACAGGTATACCTGTATGTGCGTCGTATATAAACACACACTGACAGAATTTGCTTACGAGCACGAAAAGTGACAATGGCCTCACTCCCTTGGCTAATTTGGATGGTTGAACCCACCTTAAATATGCCACACCAGCCACAAATAATGATATATTGTGCATCAAAACATGGTGGCCGCCTATGTAAAGATGTATTGTTTTTCTCAATAATTAGTTTTTACTGGGAGAGTACTACCTTCCGCGAAATTCCAATACATGTATGTATGCATACATGCAAGGAGCAAAGTACTTGTATTTACAATTTTCAGTCAGGTTCCATTCTACAATATTTATGGCTAGTATCGTTCCAATTAGTCCTCTATTTTGAGTTCAATGAGATAAAAATGTGTTTTTATACAGTGACTACTTATTTCTGCAGGTTTTTCTCAATGTGCTGTTCTGTGTTAATTTGGTGATGTCATGTTATCCATACAGTACTTTGAAAGTATAGCTGTTATGTGTTATAACACGTGGGTCAGCTATTAATGGGGAGACATTGACCTACATGTGTGATACATTCTTCTTTATTAAAGCTAGTGATGTTTAGTATATAGAATGTAAAATATACTATTAATTAAAATAATTATTCGAGTTTCTACATTTTTGTTGTAAAACAAAAAACTCCACAAATTCAACTGATATTGCATGATGTCACTTATATCATTTAAAGAACCCACTCACCTGTACATTTGGAGGAGATTTCAACACATCCAATACCACAGCCGCTATATCCGATGGCTGCAAACACTGAAATCAAGTCACATATCGTAGTAAGAAACATTTGATTCTATTATTTGTGATATCACCGCCATATTAATCTATTCCCCGAGTTGTTCACTATCTATGGTATCATTATTTATTTATTTTAATCCATTAGTCTGTTGCTAAATTATGTTTATTTTATCACTTTGGTATCAGTTTGTCGATTTACTATAACGAAAGTATTAACTTCACCGGACTTACAATTGCATTGTACATCTTTCATTATTATGTTCATGCAATATGGAGTTTAATATTTGTATCATTTTTTTAGATTTTACAATGAAACCAAAATACGCATTCTTTATAGTATTATTTTTTTGTATTATTTATCACATTCTATTACATAATACTTCACCTTTATTTCACTAAACGCTTGTTCTGCCAGCTCGTCATTGTACAGTGTTGAGAAAAAATTGCTTTGTGTGTTCCCAGGAGAAATGACCTATAAATAGAAGTACGCTGTGTTAGGCTGAGAAAAAACAAATATCTGTTTCTCGTTTCTGCGCGCATTATTTTGAATTAAGCGCCTCGGACATTTTTTCTTCTAAAGTATTCCAAAATGCGCTTGTACTCGCACTTATCTCAAATTTACTCCTTTTTAGCTCAGTATTCAAAGAAAAAAATCGTCTCACCGCCTTATTTTAAAATTTCTATGGAACGAGAAACAGGGAATTTTTTCCTGGCCTTAGCGTTAATTTCGCAAATATCCGACCGCCCGCACGGCCCACACGTTTGCGCTGCCAACACATATAGTGATCATAGTATTTTTCAGTACATGCGACTATGGAGAATATAGAATTAGTGATAGTGTACAAGAAACACTACTGTGACTCGGATATGGGAATTCAAAACTCTCAACTCTTGACGTAAAGCTTCTGTCAATCCTGAAACCATGCGCTTAGTACCGCCATAGAAACTCTCATCAGGAGCACCAGGATTTACACGATGCGCTGCAACACTAAAATGGAGAATTTATACACAATTACTCTGTAACGATAAATACTGAAAATACAATTCAATGCACGTGTACACGAAATAATCAAGA